GTTTAATCATAATGCTACTCACGCTCTGAGGATTACAGAAAGACTAGGTTTAATCGTAATGCTACTCACGCTCCGAGGATTACAGAAAGACTAGGTTTAATCGTAATGCTACACACGCTCTGAGGATTACAGAAAGACTAGGTTTAATCGTAATGCTACTCACGCTCTGAGGATGACAGAAAGACTAGGTTTAATCGTAATGCTACTCACACTCTGAGGATGACAGAAAGACTAGGTTTAATCATAATGCTACTCACGCTCTGAGGATTACAGAAAGACTAGGTTTAATCGTAATGCTACTCACGCTCTGAGGATGACAGAAAGACTAGGTTTAATCATAGTGCTACTCACACTCTGAAGATGACAGAAAGACTTGGTTTCATCATAGTGTTTACTGATCAGTAAAAGATAGAGTAAACCATCTTTTGCTCAGAGAACTAAAACCTGGATTAAAAACAGTTCTTAAAATCTTGTTTGCTGCTTATTTTTATCTGAGATCAATTTCACAAAAATATGATTGAGAGTAACGGGGGTATATACAGCCTTCCATCATTACTCCAAGCTCAAGATACAGTTCCAAAATGAATCTTTCACTCATTTACAGTAGTCTTTGATGAATTCAAAGCTACAGCAAAAAAAATTATTTTGGAGTATTTTTCAGAATATATTGATGAATTCAAAGCTACAGCAAAAAAAATTATTTTGGAGTATTTTTCAGAATATATTGTGACACACAGTCGGATGTCTTTAGTAAGCTCTTGGAATTTACTTATACAAATCTTATCACGTTTAGATATTGTGACACACAGTCGGATGTCTTTAGTAAGCTTTATATTATTGAGGTCTCGTGCTTTGTTGGTAATTATTTGGGATAATTTTAAATTGTGTTAAAAATGAATGAATTCTTCAGTAGCATAGATGAGAACAAAAAGTTAACCCTGTAAGTAATATAGTTAATGTAATTAACCAGTCTTTCTAATAAAATATTTTCAACACTTGGCTTATGTCTAACGTTTCATTTGATAGATATTTTGTCATTTTCTTATTCGTAGTTAAAGGAGGAACAGAGGGGAAGTGGAAGTGGACACAAGTGAAACAATCGGGTGTCAGACCATCTCCTCGATGTGGCTTCTCTTTGGCAATAGCACCTGGAAATAAAGCTTATCTATTTGGTGGTGTGTATGATGAAGAGGATAGCGATGAAACTTTAAAAGGCACTTTTTTTAACGATCTGTACATGTTGGATGCTGATAAAAACTGTTGGATGCAACTACAGCTACAAGGGAAACGAGAGGATGGAGAAAAGAAACGACGGAGACAAAAGAAAACCCAGAATGAAACGGAAGGACAAAACAATGAAGAAGAAGAAATGAATGATGATAATACTGATGTAGAAGAGGAAAGTAGGAAACTAGAAGATCTCGATCTGGAATATGAAAATAAAAAGGTAGTCATCAGATATTTCTTATTTTTACAGTTATTTCTGTAAAAGACATAGTATATTGTGTTTCATCTATGTTTTATTTCTATAGTTACTGTAAAAAAGTGTTTCTATGTTTCAGATATTTTTTTACAGTACTATATTCACCCAATCACATCTTCCCAAATTTTTGCAACTACTTTAGTATTGTTTATCTAACAAAATAACTTAGTCCTTGAAAGCTGTCCTGGCATACGTGTCCTTGAGAAAAGTAAATATTTAAACCTATTGTTTGTTTCCATTGAAACCATCATTTCTCGTCTTCTAGTGTTAGTCTCCATACAGCAACTCATTCCATAAGTTAGAAACAATAAAATTGTCCTAACTAGAGTCTGTTTTTCAAATGTTAAAACGTGTCTTTTCTTTCTACTGCCTTCAAAGTACAGCACAAAAAATCATTGACCTACGTCTTATCTATCAACCATACAACACAAAAAATCAAGAGAAAGTACCTTAAGATCTTAACCTAAGCCTATAAGACAGAAAGTACCTTAAGATCTTAACCTAAGCCTATAAGACAGAAAGTACCTTAAGATCTTAACCTAAGTCTATAAGACAGAAAGTACCTTAAGATCTTAACCTAAGCCTATAAGACAGAAAGTACCTTAAGATCTTAACCTAAGCATATAAGACTGAAAGTACCTTAAAATCTTAACTTAAGCCTATAAGACAGAAAGTACCTTAAGATCTTAACCTAAGCCTATAAGACAGAAAGTACCTTAAAGTCTTAACCTTTTTATGACCAAATAGCTAGATAGTGTTACCGTCTGAAGTTAGGAAGTAATCTTAAAATCTTAGTCGCTCACCTAAATAAACGTAACTACCAGAAGTTATTATACCCACCATAATGTCTATTAGTCTAATCATACTCCAGTAGATCTAAATCTTAAATCTACGTGTATGGGCTGAAGAAAAACAACAGTTTCTGAGTGCCCCAGGTTGTCTCACAAGCCAAGTTTGTTCTTTCACAATATTCCAAGTGAGGCCTAACTAGTGATTTGTATATAGAGTTTTGAGTTGTAATATGTCTATAAAAACACTCAAGTATCATTACCTTTACTGTTAGCACTATTCTAATGGCTTGAGTGACTTATTCATCACCACGCCAGGATCCTTTTCTTGTATTAATTTATATTATCGTGTCATTGATTATTGAATACTTAAAGATTTTTTTTTATTTAGGAGGAAATGGACATCGTACGTGAGACAGATGATGGAATATTCACAGTTAAAATTGGTCCTCCAACATCGTCAACAGAAAGTAGTGCATGTGATGGAACAGCTTCTAGTAAGACAGTGTCAAGCAAGTCAGAAAGTTTTGTTCCATGGCCAAGAATGAATGCCGGCATGGTAGTAAAACATAAAATGTTGTATGTTTATGGAGGGTTATACGAAGACGGTGATCGGCAACTCACCTTGTCGGACTTCCAATCATTAGATCTACACAAGTTAGACGAATGGCACACTTTGATAGAATTAGACACTAAGTCTCAGCAGTGGCTAGAATCCGAGTCTGAAGACGATGAGGAGGTTGAAGATGAAGAGATGGAAGAGGCTGGTGCAGTGGGAGGAATAGAAGAAGACAGCAGTGACTCTGAGGGAATCTAAGAAACATTGTATGTATTGTTTGAAGAAATAAATATTAAACTGGTTGATAAGTGTTTTATCTAATTTAAATAATACTTATGTTTTAACCACTATATATCTAATAGTAAAAAAGGATAGTTCTACAAAACAGAAAGTTTGATTATTTTAATCAAAGATGGTTTTGTGAAGAGAATGATAATGCTTCAGGGTTAAAATTTTTAGACCAAATGATGCTTATCTGCTTAACCGACGAGGAACGACAAAAACGCATATTGAAACTTGAGTGATTTAATGAAATGCATTTTTTATTCTTGTGTCATTCATAGTTATATTTGGTTTGACTCTCAGAATGGCAGTGAACTTCTGACTGTTTATTTGAATTCTATCTGGTGGTGTAAATACATTTTATTGTTTACTGGTATCGTCCTTCTTATTGTACGTCAAAAAATCTACTGTGCTAGATCTTGAAATATATCTAAACTTGATCAGATTTATATAAGTAAATTTCAAGAGCTTACTAACAACATCCGACTGTGTGTTACAATATCTAAACTTGATCAGATTTGTATAAGTAAATTCCAAGAATAACTCCTTCAAATACTAAAATAAAACAAAATGTTTAGGTTAGTATAACTCCTTCAAATACTAAAAACAAATATTTTAATGATGTTTACTCATTCGACCATTAATTTCCCTAGGGACTACAAATATTTTAATGATGTTTACTCATTCGACCTTGAAAACCATAAATGGAAGAAGGTCGAACCCGTGGGGACGGGACCTGCACCACGTTCTGGTTGTCAGATGATTGCGACCTCAGATGGTAGAATAATAATATATGGTGGTTATTCTCGAGAGAAAGTAAAGAAAGAAGTGGACAGAGGAATAGTGCATAGTGATATGTTCATTCTACACTTTGATGGTACGTCAGTCAGTTGTAGATGATTTATTGAAGTTTGAGTTTACAGAAACAGAAATAAGTTGTTTGCTTTAGTTTCAATTGGATCTATGCATTCACTAATTGAAAGCTGGTGTTGCAGTTCGGAGATAGTCGGAGAATAGGCTTAGCATAAAAAGAACAACTATTTTACGTTAATGTTGAGAAGAAAGTGGAAAGATCGTCGTGCTGACGAGAATATTTTGGCAAATATAAAAATTACGTATTACTCAATGTAAAACTACAGTTTATTTTTAGTTTCTTCATTAATTTTTTTATGCGAGATCAAAAGTTTTTCCTCTGAGTATTTTATGTGTTTTCACTAAATTCTCTTACAATATTTGCTTTGGATGCCATTAATCTTGCAAGAATGTGTAGAACCTAATGTGCTGTAAGGTGCATATTTCGAACAGATGTAAGGGCAAGGCTTAGGAAAGTTATTGTCATGCATTTCTCTGTTCCTTTTGAATGAGTAAAAGTGTTTTTTGTTATCCTGATTTAAAACAAAATTTGTATTTCAATTCGTTAGAAGTGTATTTCAGTACAACTAATAAACATTTTGTTTTATTTTAGTATTTGAAGGAGTTATAATAACCTAAACATTTTGTTTTATTTTAGTATTTGAAGGAGTTATACTAACCTAAACATTTTGTTTTATTTTAGTATTTGAAGGAGTTATAATAACCTAAACATTTTGTTTAAAGTCCTGAGGGAAATTAATGGTTGAATGAGTAAAACATCATTAAAATA